TTTCACAGAAAAAAAATCTTTTCTCGAATAATTACAATGCTTTGTTCTCTCCAACGCATCTGAGATCACGCTTAAAAAAGTAATCGATGCCTTAATTAATAAGTGGAAAAAAAACATTTTCTATTTATATTAAATTTTTTATTTATATTTTGTATTATATATTATTTTTTATTATATTTGTATTAAATTTTAACAAGAAAAATTTGTTTCTAGAATGAATTTAATCAAATTTTTAGTTTGAAGCAACATGTTGATATCGGAGATCATTGAAGCGTATGCCGCCAGATGGCGTAAAGCTTTACCTTGAAATTGTTTCTCGCAAGTGGTCGATCTTATGACAATTCGTATATATATCAGTTGCATGTAGTATTCGGTTGTACTTGCTTCGGCAGTACATATACTAAAATTGGAACGATACAGAGAAGATTAGCATGGCCCCTGCGCAAGGATGACACGCAAAATCGTGAAGCGTTCCACATTTTTTTGCAATTTCATATTATTAAATAAAATTATTTTATTCTCATTATTTACTATTTATGAATTCATTTGGTTATTAATATTTACTTCTTTTATATTTTTTTATATGATTTTAATTTTACTTTTTTCAAAAATTGTTGTAAAAATCAGATTTTATTAGTAAAAATAACAAATTTTTTTTTATATATCAATAAATTATTATTTTATTATTCATTATTTATTATATAAGTAATGTATTTATATTATATATGTTACATTTATTATTTATAGATTATTATCGAGCATAATAATTACGTATGACATTAAACGAATCAAAACGTATTATTTGCATAGCAATTATATATGTTATTCATTAGGTAATCTCGATACGCAGCGGGAAAAAATAATTGAACGTATTCTGCCTCTAATCTGTGATCGTTCCCCTCCACAAGATCGGAAAGAGATATTCACCCTGAATTGAATCCCATTTATCCAACATGACCAGAGGTGGTTGCATCCAGATGAAATTTCGTGTCCCACAGGGGAACAAATATTGCAAATTACCGACAACAATCAGTCGACAAGGGATGGTGATTCCGAGGCAATTCGAATCAAACCCTCCGTTCTAATTTCCATTGATTTCGTTTTCTAAATCGCGACAGATGCGATCAACCGTGCTAGTTTTAGATTGCAAGAAATTATTCGACAATTTACAGTATTCTTGTTAACTTGTACACATTTAGAACGTACAAATATAATATAAAGAACACTATTTTAAGTTTAATAATTAATATCTTTGAAAAATATTAAAAATATTCCATTGGATTGAATAATAAATCTATTCATATTTCTTTTTTTTCAAAAATATTATATAAAAATATTATCTATCTGTTTAATAGTTATAATAAATAGATGTATAAAAGAAGAGATTATTAGAATTTCAGAGAATTGATAAGATATTACTTTTCTTTAAAATAACTTTAAAATAAAAATCAGAAATATACGCATAAATAGAAAAAAATTAATGAAGAAATTATGCATTATTTAATTTTATAGAAATTTGTAGATAAATTAAAACAAAAATTATAACTCGCTTTCAATTTATGATGAAACTTTACATATTTGAATTTGTACAAATTATCACTTTTAATAATTTATAATAATGAAATAAAAAAAAAATTATAAAAAGAAACTAGTAATAATTTCTATTAATTAATATTGATACTAATTAATATTATAGGATCAATTTACAATATTAAAATATATTTTATCTACATAAATAATTATAACCAATCTGATTATTCTAAAATTAATATAAAATAAAATACAAAATAATGTCAAGAAAATGATAAGAGATATGATAAGATAATAATACTCAATGCTTTTTTTGAGATTGAATTTATTGCCTGACGGTTTGATCGCAAGAAATTGGTATCGTGTTAAAAATTATCCCCACAAAGGGCCGATGATCAAAATTATTACGAGCATCTTTATTTTCGCAGCTCGACGCCGCTCAATTTATCCCGTCTTCATGCATTTATTCCATCGTTTCCACCGTTTCCGCCGTTCCGAGGCCCTTTTCCAGCACGAAGAAGACGGCCAGCCGCTTTGCTGCCCCTTGAATTAATTCCCTGCATACGTTAATCTTAATGAATTCACAAACGCGCCCCGTCGTGTCCGACTCCTGGGGTATATCGGCGAGGGTTCCGCTTACAGGTGCCAGTACGCAAACTCGAGGCCACGAGGCAAACCATTAAAATATACCACCCTGTGTATACGTATACACATCCTTCTTCTTTCTTCACATCGCATTTATGCGACGCCACGCGACCTCGAGTTGCCGAAAATTGCACGAGTACAATACCTTCTTTTTTCTCTCGTTTCATCAATGGATTAAATATTTAATTATTTTATTCGATATTGCATTGAAATGAATAAGTTTGTAAGAAAAAATCGAAATAGAAGAGAAGTAAGATTTGTCACTTTATCATAAAGATTAATTCGTTTTATAATTCGTATATTTTATAGTTATTTAAAATATCATTGATGTCAATGAATTTTACTATAAAATCAAACAAGTTTCGTCATAGGATGAATTGTTGGTGTAATATAGAATATATACATAAGTTTGTATGATGAATTGTATGCAAATTCTCCTTTGAAGGATTGAATACAGTAATAATTGTTTGAATTGTTTTATGTGTTTAAACATGTTTGATAACATCTTATTCTTTTTTTGTATAAAAAGATTGGTTCATTTTAATATCGTATGCCTTCGTTAAATTGAAACATCTTACATTTGTAATTTTACTATCTCAATTAGTAAACTTAATAAACTCACTTAATAAACTTAATGGAATTAATTCACATTAAATTTCGTTTTATAAAAAATAAAGAAATTACATTCTTTTCTTTTTTTACACAACAAAATCTTACTCCAATCTCTTCTATATTATAAATAAATTATACCAAAATTTATCAAAAAATCCTGAAAAATCCTGCTAAATCATTCTTCAATACAATAAATAATATAACAAAATAAATATACATAATAAATTAATAATAATAATAATAATAATAATAATAATAATAAATTATAAATATATCAAAATTTATCAAAAAATCCTGAAAAATCCTGTTATCGTTCTAATAAATAATATAACAAAATAAATATACGTAATAAAATATTTTACAAATACATATATTTGAAATAACACGTACATCTTAAGTAATATTTTCTACGTTTTAACCGCATCAAAATCCGCAGTCTCCCGGATAGTTATCAGTATTCAAAAGATCTGGCGCAACGTTGCTGCAACAGAAATTACGAAGACGCGAACGTGCCTGTTATAAAAGGAGCGGGGATCGAAGAGTGATTCATGAAATTCGTTAATTAAGCAACGCGAAGGAAATAGGAAGTCTGGCTGCGGGGTGTTTGCTATCTAAAAGGGCTGCCTGCGCATAAGCGCGTTGGATCGTCCTGTTTTTCCCTCTCCCCCCCCTCTTTTTTTTTTTTTTTTTTTTTTTTTTTTTTTTTTTTTTTTTAATTCTAGATCGAGAAGAATTCAGCGTGGATGATATTTGCGGGACGTGAAATATTTTAGAATATGGAAGGCAGCGTGGCCATAGAGTCGCGCGAATGCCCCAGGAAAGATAAGTAGCGACGTGGTGAATAGACTAACGGGGCGCTGCAAAAGCCTGGGAACGGGAGGAAAGGGGGAGCGAAAAGGGGGGAGGGGAATAGGCGGTGTCGAGGATTGGTGGTTTTATGCATCATGCATATTTACGCTCACATACTAGCCGCGGAAGATGACGAAGCGGGCCGGGCGAGGGTTGTGCAAATTGCGAGGACCGTATTTATGCAAATGCCCGCGCATTCGTGTTGCACCTTGCGCCACTTTCCTTACCGACGTTCCTCACCCAGCAAATTGACTTCGTTAGTAGTCTCTCTCTCTCTCTCTCTCTCTATTTCCCGATCCCACGTTGGGGGGAGAGAAGAAGGGGGAGAAAAGTAGGGAATCGAGGCGAAGGAAACAAGGGGAGAGGAAAGATGGCGCGCCAAGAAACGAAGAGGAATAATGCACGCGGGAGATTTATCTCCCTTATCTGCAGGTACAACAGAGATATTCTCTCTGTTCGTAAAAGTTGCGGGGCGGAAGGGAGAGTGTGCGCAAACGGGGAACGGAAAAGAGAGCGCAGGGTGGAAACAAAACACTGGCGGTTAAGCCAGTGCTTCTCTGGGGGGGAGAGAAACAATCTCGATATCGCGACGCGTTCTCTACGGTTGTATATACCAGCAGAGAAACGTTTCACATCCAATTTGTTCCTCTCGTTTCGCGGTAATCGCTCGCCAATGACTTTCTCCCACTCGTTTCCTCGGTTCTCGGGGGTTCGATGCTCGTCAGGCCGTGCGCTCCTCTTCGAAGCGTGCACCAAAGATCGCCCACGTATCCTCGTCTCCTGCTATCCTCACCCGCTCGCTAAGCCAAGAGTCGGCACAACAGGGGCCAACCCCCATCGCGCAAGCCGCTTTCCGTCGACCAATCGACGCCTGGCGGCGGCCGCATCCACCCCTCGGTGGGGAGTTGGCTCGGCCAATGGGCGAATCGAAGGTGCGGTGGAACGGGGGTGGCATGGCGCCACCACCCCCAAAATGGCTGCGAAATCGCGCGAGCATTAGGCAGTCCGTTCAAAATAAACGGGCGGATTAATTGGAGCGGGGTGGCGCGGGGTAGGAATCGGCAACCCCTGACTCGCGTGCTCTGACTCTTCCTCCTCCGCCCCCCCCACCCGGGTATCGAGCAACGTGCGCTTGTCGAAGAGGATGACGACGATACCAGGCATTTTGGACAGGCATATCCGGTCATCCCTCGACGACCACCTCCAGAACGACGCCGAGCGTCCACACGTTAGCATGAGAGCCGACATTTTCGTGATCGTGGTGTTCTCGCGCCGACAACCGGCTTCGATTCAACTGATCCGCGATCTGTTTCTCTAATCGTTCCTTTCATTTGGTTTGTTTTTCGTTCCGACGAGGTGTAATAATGCAGGAGCACAAGTCGTTTCTCATAAGGGATCTTCTGGGGGATGTTTTGTCCGAGCGGGTGCACGGTGAGTATATATTTATATATTTATATATTATAATATATTTATATATAATATTTATATATTATATACTATATATTTATATATAGTATACTCGTTTAAATAAAGGACGAAGTTGAAAAGTAGTGAAATTTTGAATCTGATAATAATTTTTGCGTAATAAATCGAATATAGATAAATGTGCTCCAATTCGAACGATTTCGAACAATATTTTCGAGGAAATTTCGAATGAGACGTCAATGACAGGTTTTCGCTTCTTTCCAAAGAATCGAAGAGAAACATACAAGTATTTTCACACGAACGATGAAATCAGATATAATTTTTCATCGAAATCTTACTTTTTATACGAAAATTATTCTTCACCCGACTCTCGTGCTATCTTAACATTGAATTTTTCATCGAAGTAATCATACTTTTTATACGAAAATTATTCTTCACCCGACTCTCGTGCTATCTTAACATTAAAAATCAATATCAACCAAATAATCGTCTCATTATCTTAATTTTATTCTTTTTAAAAAAATTCAACTTATCGATGTTCATCTCTCTCCATTAAACTTCTTAAGAAAACAATATATATATATATATATATATATATGATATCGCAATTTTCCAATTGTTTTCTTTCTTCCAATTGTTTTTTGCATATATATATATATACGCGTGTTAACGCGAATCGCAGAGAATCGGCTCGAGCACGAATAATTAAAAAATCAAGATTTTCATTGCACATGACAGCGGTCGCGTGGCCTATCGCCAGGCTCCTCGTTACGCGCCCCCCCGCAGAGCGGCTCCATTATTTTTAGCCAAGATTCGCAGCCCTAAGGGTGTCCAGAGCCCCGGCCGGGTGGTGCCCCATTAACGACGATCCTACAGATGGCCTCCCAGGGCTGCGGAAGGATTCGTTAGCTCTCGTTAGTCCGAATTTTCGTCGGCGATCGTCCTGCATCCCGCTGCGACGCGCCTTTATTGGCCAATCGAGATCAGACACCGATCGTTCCCCTAATCGAGATCGTTTAAGGCGTGGGCGATCAAACCGATCAACAGTGGATTTCCTAGCATTGTTCGGATAATCAACTTTGAATCTGTTTATTTTCGGGGCACGAAATTGTATTTTCGGATTTCGTCGCATTTTCTTTCTTCGCCCAACAACTGTCGCCCCCCATCGATTCGAATGCTGAATATTTCGTTTCTAGAAGATTCCGAGGACGATTCGGCCGTTCATTCGGACTCTGAGGACACGATCGACCCTGGAAGTAGCCCGTGCACCAGATTGGAAAGTCCTCCGCCAGCGCTCTCGCCATCCCCGGCGGCAGCGACGTCCGGCAAGTCCTGCGGAACGAGCAGCGGCCCTCCAAGCGGCAGGAAGCCGAGAAGAAGGCGGACTGCGTTCACCCATGCTCAGCTCGCTTACCTGGAGCGAAAGTTTCGCTGTCAGAAATATCTGAGCGTGGCAGATCGAAGCGACGTGGCCGACGCCTTGTCGCTCTCCGAGACCCAAGTCAAAACGTGGTACCAGAACAGAAGGTAAATATATTACAAAACCTAACTAAATCGATCGTTCTAATGTTCGAGAATATCTTAAAACCATCTAACAAGTGTAATTCGTATATAAGCGCTCCTTTCGACGAACAAAATTCGGATAATCGAATAATCAAATAAAATAATAAAATAATAAAATATCCAGTGGATTTTTAAATGAAAGTTGAACAAGAGGAAAAAGAACATCTTTTCAACAGCTTATTACCATGCAAACTATATTCATAATTCAACACTCATCTCTCTATGCTCTTAACCTCATTCGTAATAAAATCGAATTAAAATTAAAATCTTTGCATATTTTCCCCGAATCCATTTATCCATTTTCACCATTATTCTTCAAATGGAAAACGCCTGTTTCCCGCCACAGGACGAAATGGAAGCGGCAGAACCAACTGCGGCTGGAGCAGCTTCGGCATCAAGCGACGGTGGAGAAGGAGTTGCTCGTACGAGGCGTGGGCCTTCACCACGGCAGCATAGACGCCTACTGTCCACCGTACAACGCTCAGACCCAGACCCAAAGCCACCCGCCTCCGCCGCCCCCGCCCCCGGCGCCCTCCACCGCCTCGACGGCCGCGTTCCTCTCGACGGCCGCGGCCCTCTTCCGGAACGTCACCTACGTCCACGGATGCCCCCTCTAACCCGGCGTCACGCCGCGGTTCCAGGATCCAGGTTTCTGCTTTCCGGCCGCCGGCATTGGGGGCCCCCCTCCCTTCATCGGATCCCCCTCGAGCGGGGACGAAGCACAGACCGGGACGATCGACAAGCGAATCTACTCGCGAATTCTAGATCTCGTTGAACTCGTTACATTCGCGATGGTTTTTGTTGTTGTTGTTGTCGCTCGTCGACTAATTAATCGACTCGCGTCCAATTCACGGGTGGTGGTCGTTCGTGTACGCGAGAAGAGTCCACGGTTGTCGCGGATAAGGGATCCGCGCTGCCTACGGCACACAGTGAAGTGCGTGGACCGAGGGAATGTAAACGGAGCGAAGGGAGAGATATTTTTTGGAGACGTTTGGAGAGGCTGAGGGATGGTGATGGAGTTGTTTTGATCCAGTGTTTATGTTTCTGCATGCGAGACAGTGTACATATGTAATTATTACGAATGAGGTTGATAGTCGTAGTTTCCTTTTCTTTGTTCTCTTCACGAGGAATTGGGGTATGTAAGGGATTAATTTTTTAATCGTTCGTGAATTTTCGCTTGTTGTTTGTATTGTTTAATTTTAGGCGAAAGAAAGAGTTGCGTGCTCCTTGAAAGGAATAAGAGTCTGGTCGATAGCTAGAGTCGAATTCGTAGATGTGTCATAGGCTCCTTAGGGTAATTGTAAAGAAGAAGGAGAATTGCTACGAGATGAACCGCGTGTTTTTTTTTTTTTTTTTTTTAGAGATTATAGTTTGCCAACGCACATCGCTCGTTTAACATTTACTTTCTCCAGTTAGTCGGCGAATTTTCGTCAACCGAGGAATTCTTGTAGATAAAATAAATTATTATCAGAACAGAAAAACTGAACATCTTGTGATTAATCCTCTTCAATTTATATATATATATATATCCAAATTTTTCTCCACTTTCGTTACTTCATTTACATTTTCATTTTACTTTTTTTTTTTTTAAACGTGAAAAATGGATCAATGGAAACGAGATCGATTTCCCTCTTCTTCTCGTACACGTGGTGGCTAAATCTATCTTTCTCTTTCTTTTTTCTTTTTTATTTAGAAAACAAAAAAAAAAAATCGGTAACGAGCCAGTATCGAAGAAGACCAATTCGCGCGTGACAATGGGCACGTGGCCAGAAACAGCCCCGGCGGAAAGTAATTGGCTGAAACCGATACAAGTCGAGTACCGGTGCCACTCGTGGCTGGAATTGGCTGACGGATTTAATTGAACGGAATCGACGAGAAAAAGCGAGACGAAGCAACGTGTCGGATCGCGTGCGAGAGAAGGAGGAGAAGAGGAAGGAAAAGAGATACACGGTGAAGCAATTGTCACGATGATTTTTTTTCTTTTCTTCCGGTCGTGGACTCCGGTCGTTTGTTAATTGGAGAAGAAAAGAGAGAGAGAGAGAGAGAGAGAGAGAGAGGGAGGGAGGGAGGAATAAAAGAAATCAGGAAGAGAATAACGAGAAAAGTGCACGATCTCTTTACACGGGTGATTAGACTGCATTAAGCGAATTTCGAATGAACTCGCGTTAACGACTTTTCGTTAATCACTTTCCTTTCGTGTAACACGTTTCATTCTTCCTTTTTTTTTTTTTTTTTTTCTTTTTTTTAAGTGAAAAAGCACTCAACATGAAATTGCGTTCCCTCTGAAACACAACAGTTCCTCTTTGACTCCTTCCTTCAAGATCGATCTCCCGTTTCCGGTGCGTTCCAGAAAAATGAATGGGGTCATAATTGGGGGAAAAGACGCGTGGAAAGTTAAAAGGAAGTTCGTGGGGGACACGTCCCCCCCCCCCTCCTCTGCCGTTTGATAAGAAGAAATTGTTGCGACGAGTCGGCGACATCCTCTCCAGAACGATGAAGAAAGAGTGGAGGAGGAGAGGAAGGGGAAGAAAGAACGGGGAAAAAACACTCCTTTCGAATCCATTCGGGATGAAGTAAACCAGGAAACTACTCTCCGTGTCTGGTCCTCGAATAATAATAAAAAAAAAAAAAGAAAAAACAACTTGCCAAGCGTGAAATCACGCGAGTGAAGGAAGAAATTCTTGCGACACTCGTCCCTCCCCCCCCTTTCCTTTCAAATTCTTCTACGGAGAGAGCACGATAACGGAGAATCCCCCACGCGTAATTACCTCGCTATGATGAATCGCATATTATTCGTAATAATTTTCTTCGTCGCACGTTATTGTCCCTCGTTCCCTCCGCGAGCTTCTAATTTTAGTCTTTTTTAACGTGACTTCTTGAGCGTTCTCGAGTATCGCGGAGTGGTCACGGATCTTTTTCAAAAAAAAAAAATAATCTTTGAAAAATTACATACGACAAATTTTTTCGAGAATCGTTGATGAGTTTGATAAGGGAAACTGGGGAACGATGTATTGTTATGTGATATCGATTCAGTTAATTTGTTACATTAATAATTATAATGTAAAGAGAGAATATATTAAATATGTAGAAAAGGAAAGGAATTTAAGCAATCTCAGATTTGGTATAATTTATATTTATCTTTCTCGTAATGATAAATTGGCAGGTAATAAATATATATTAAAAAAAAGAAGAATGGGAATAATTTAATACATTTTCGTATTTATAACAAGAGATTTAATCTTATAATAGGATGTTTCGAAATTAAAATGAATATTTCAATTTTTATATTAGTGATATTCAAATGAGTTACGTGTTTATCTAAGTATTTATACATATGTTGTTTATCAGAAATCGGAATCTATATTTTCGAAATAATTTAAAAATGGTGTTACAATTTGTATTTATGTGTAAATGTATACCCTTTTTTTTTAAAAAATTTACTATAGATTTATTAATTTTATTTTTTATACAAATTCATATCAATATTCTTTTCTTTTTTACATTACATTCTTGTAATAAAATAATAGAAAATGCAATAAATATCATTTACATAGAGCATATACGAACCATTATAATTATATAATTGAATTCAATTTTTTATTTCTATTTACATATTTTACTTATATAATTTTTATATTATATACAAATATATAATAAGACAAATCCTAAGCTGCTTTACATATTAAAAATATTTGGCCGTTTTACATCACTATATTAAAAGACACTTAAGGAATAAAAATTATTTTTATGCTTTAAAGTACACTATTTAGATGCTCTAAAGATTCGATCATCCGTGTGCATACACACTTACCAAAATTATGCTACAAAAATCCAAATATTTCTTCACTTTACAGTTAATGATCGAATTCTATAATTAAATGATCGAATAAACTGAAAAATTGACTCAATAAAATTATCGTATTATACGTAGAATATACACGTATAGATAGATACGATATCTCATATCACATTCGAATGCATTTCAATCGTGTAAACGGCTGTAATTTACCAATCGATAAATGATTCAAATCGTATGCTATATTGAAACGATCAAGGATCCCCGATAAATCCCGAGAATCGCTCAGGAAAAGACTCGATAAAAAACGAGATATCCTGGGATGGAAGAGAAGTGGCGTCGCGTGCACTCGGCCACGTGCGTATTGTCATTGAGCGAATAACCGTGGACGCGCGTGCATACGTGCGTAAGTCGTGTTGGCACTTGGACACGCGCTTCTTATCCCTCTTCAGTTTATGATGCGCGTCTCCCTCTTACCCGACCGAGAACAGCATCGTTAAATACTTCACGGGGGGGCATCCCTTCGAAATCGTTCCTATACCTATATACTTTTGAAAGATCCACGCCCTGGGATTCTCTTCACAAACGGATCGTTTTCACACGTATACTCGCCGCATGGTTTCCACGCGTTTCTCGATCGGTAATTAACAATTCCGTTGTTACCACTCAAGAACTCAGGTGGCAAGAAAGGAAAAATTTTTAGAGAAAAAATTTATTTCTTTTTTTTCTTTTTTCCTTTTCTTTTTTTAAACACTTATATAGGTACTTACTAGGATATCTTATAGATAGGATGTTACTCGACGGTTAAAATCAAAATCATCGAGATGAGAGAAAAGATCCGTTTGAAAAGAGGGAAGTCTCGTTTAAAATTCGAAAGTAAGGGGTAGGCGCGGATACCGATAATCAAGGACGGGCAAAGGGGCGAGGCGAACGCCCCAAAGGAGGAGCGAAAGAACGAAGAAAGCTTGGTGAGCCTGGGCATTTCTAATTCTTTAGGAAAAAAGCGGCGGAGTAATTGCTGTGGAGAAACTGGTGGAGAGAGGGAGAGTGGAAGAAAGTGAGGGAAGCCAGGATGGCTGACTGCACAGCAGTAGCGAAAAGGGATCGCGGCTCCGTTGGTGGAAGGCAAAAAGCAGAAGTAAAAGGAGTCGGGTGTGACGAGGTTGGCTGCGGGGGAGGTAAAGATGGATCTCACGAGAAGGAAGGATGAGCAGGGAAAGAGAGAAGGTTAGAGAAAGGGAAAGAGAAAGGCTGAACCAGTGGGTAGAAGGCGCAGGGTGCAGGGTGCAGGGTGTAGAGTGCACGCGGGCAGAGCCGAGTGTAACGAAGCTCCGACTTTTTAATTGGAATATATTCAGAAAGCGGAACGCCTTTTCATCGCGGGACTCGATGCACTGAATACGGCCTGAATCAACGCGGAATCAACCGCGCTTGCAACGAGCCTGCTGTGCAACTGCAAATCGGGCCGCGTCTCTGCATTTATACGTAACGGATGCATAGCGGGTTGCATAAAATAACCCGCGAAAACGCGAATCCGCCCTCTCTTCTCCGGCCAACCTTTTCCCTTTTCTTCCACGGCTTCCCCGATATCCACGGGCGTATAATCACCCTGAAAATACGATAAGTGCGACCAGATCAAAAAATCACGCGGAGATTCGTTCTAGTCTACGTTTCTCTCTATATCTTTCTATCGATTTTTTCTTTTTTGAACATTGAAAGTTATCTTTTTTTTTTTTTTTTTTAAGTGAATTTATAATCTACATTTGTTACGTATCCTCGTACGTATATTAATTTCTTCTGCAACTTTCCTGTTAAAAGTAA